CTTTCACTCCACCCCCTCTCCCCTTCTCTTTCTCTCCCTCCTTAACTCTACCGTTTATTCCCTAATTCTCCCGAACCCTCCTCTTCGATCTTCCCTCGCGGGCCACAATGGCCACAATGCGTTTTACCAACGGCCCCGCGTCGCTTGATTGATGTTTTGCAGGCGTGGATAGTCGACCGGCCGTCCAAAAGACATCGATCAGTTTCCCTTTCCTGTGGCGGGAGAGGCCGGATTACAACAATCTGATTGCTCGCTGCTCGCTCCTATTTCCCAAGATGAAATACACAGTAACGTCGTACTTCCGTATAAACGGACAAACGAAATCCAACAGTCGCGCCCAGTGAAGGTGTGTCCGTGACAGGCCGCGGCTGGACCCGGCAGGAGCCCCACCCCCTCCCCGCCTCCCCGCAGAGAAGCGCAGGCTGTCAGGGGGATGAACATCCATGTGTTATGGTCCCAGAGCCGCCCCGCGATAGGGAGTCGAACAGGAGACAATAAAAATCCATGACGAACTCGCTGGCGTGCAGCGACCGAATAACGCGCCCATAGCCCTGTCCCGGGCCCGTGGCATGGCCCATGGCGCGGGCTGAGGAGGTTCGAGGGCTCATGACGCACGGGTACACTGCCTCGCGCACCGCACCAGTGCGAACGGCTGGGGGCATTTGCACGAGGGGCCCGACTCGATGAGTAAGTGTACCGCAGTCGCTGCCGCTGCACCACACTGGGTGCGTTTACGTGGCTCCCCGACTTTTTATTATTGCGGAAGTGGTTGGTTTCGGTAACAAAGGGTGACTTCCTGGAATGTGGTGTGCCGCTCTGGAGATGTAATTACAGCTGTGTATCTCTTGGCTTTCACCGCATAATCATTTATTTGGTCAAAAAAATGGCCACAGTCCTCTTCTGGGAACCCCATGCTGACTTCGCTGACTTAACAGGCAGGAAGACTACTGCACGCAAGATTTTCTCAAAATACCTCCCCCCCTCTTTTCCTCCTTGTCTCTAACTATTATTGCATCTGCCAGTTAGTGTTATAATTTTGTCGTACGCAAACTTGAATAATTGGTCGAGTACCTAGCTATAACTAAAGCTGAAGCTATAACTCTGAGACCTTGGGTCTGTCCGAAAGGTGGGTCGGTGAGCGGTTCGGTCGTCGATCGGTCAGTCGAGCCGCTCGGTTTCTGGCCGTGGCGAGATGCACCGAGTCGAGGCGGGCCTGCGAGGCTGGGCCAAGGTGGGCAGCCGGCTCCGCAGGGCTGTTCGGCGGGTTTGCCTACCCAGGTGTTTGCAGGCGGCAAGCTGACTCCGAAACGGGCGGTAGGTGCTTGGTTTGTTCTGCCTCGGAAGTCATTACCTAGAACCTAACTATAACTAAAGCTGAAGCTATAACTCTGAGACCTTACGTCGACGGTCATGCTGGCCCGAAAATGCAGTCCAAATGTGAAAAGGGCAATTTTGTACATCACAGGAAGAATAATGGAGACACTATGCTTATTTTAATACTTCTTACAATAAAAGAGAAAAATAAAAATTTTGCATGACCAGAATTTTAAAATAAATTAAATAGGGCTAGTAGGGTCTCTGGCCTCCGCCTAGCCTTTAGCGACCCAGTGACACAGACACGAGGGAAGTCCACACAGAACACATCTGTAGAAAAATAAATGCAATTTTCTGACGGGGTTCTGATTGGTGGGGAGACCGGGTGGTGAAAGGCAAGAACAGGAATCTATTTCTTCTCTTCAAATCAAATCAAACCAAAAGCGTGGGGGGGGGGGTCGAGCTTTGTTCCCGAAACGCGCTTCTAATCTCATCCTAGAACTACTATCTGCCTCAGCAATTTCTCATACTTTGGCCAGGAGAGAGAGAGAAGGGGGGAGGGGGGGCTTGCAGACGACTGGTGTAGTAGTGTTGGTGATAGTGACAAATCTCCGGCCCCGGCCGCTGTTTTGTCTGCGTGACTCCGTATTATTTCCGGAAGAAATTAATTCACGTTTGGAAAAAGGTATACCCACTAAATGAAATCGTGATGCTGTATCCATCAAAGGAGAAAATGTTCTCAAGTGTTCGCACCAATTTGGTTTGTTGACTTGTAAACATAACCTTTCTCGTGTATTCGTGACAGTGTCAACAAAACATTAGACAGCTGTGACCGTTTTCATGTGTTCATTCGTTGAATATTATTGGTTAATTATTTAAATTTTACCCTCATTTTAATCTTGGTTGTCCTGTATTCAACGTTTTTTGATTATAATAATTCCTCATAGTATTTGCCATTATTTCTTGGTTTGGGTAGCTTTGCATCTGCATGGAGTTATTTGACAAACAAATAAAGAATGTTCAAGCTTGAGTCATACATCACTCCAATACTACTCAGCTATGTCGACAAGTACATTAAGAACTTTAAACCAGAGGATTCGCAGGTGAGTCCGTCACAAAGCTTGAACAAATTATGTTTGTTGTCAAACAACATCTGATATAAAAATAGAATTTGCATTTCCAACATCATGATTCTTTCTGTACAGCTATCCCTATGGGGTGGAGAAGTATCTCTTCACAACTTGGACCTCAGACTTGAAGTACTTGAGGAAGAATTACAATTGCCGTTCACATTTGTCAGTGGACATATCCATGAATTGATAATTCATGTTCCATGGACAAAGCTGTACTCTGAACCAATATGTATTACCATTAATACTATAGAATGTATTTTGAAATTACGTGGAGACGATTCAAGCAGCACAGATGGAGGAGGAAGCTCTGGGGGAGGCAAAGAGAGGAGGAGACGTCCTAACAGGTAAGGCATTCATCTAGATTACCCAGTTTGTTTGTTTTTGTAGTAATGTTTTTCTCTAATCTTCAACAAATCTTATGTAGGCCTACTGACGCGGTTGCTCCACCTGGATATGTTCAAACTATGGTCAACAAAATAGTCAGCAACATCACAATAAACTGCTGTAACCTAATTGTAAAATATGTTGAAGAAGACATAGTTATGTCCATGAATGTTAAAAATTTGACTTTTCAATCAGCTAATGAAAAATGGGAACCTGAGTTCAGTGGTCAGTAGTATCAGAATAGTATACAAGCTAAAAGTAATAAATTATCAGTTTTACATGATATCACGTGCATAACATTTGAATCTATTACAGATTTTTTATCATCTCAGTTAATGTTTCGCAAAATAATAAAACTGTCAGATGTTACTGTCTGTTTAGACAAGAGAAATGCCTCTGGGAAAATCGATTCATATCAGGTAAGGGGCGGTATAAAAAAAAGGAAATTGGGTAGGCCTGCATGTGATGTGTATTATTTAATCATTAAGCAGGAGTGGGGGGAATATCACCCAACGCAGAAAGTGTGAATGGCCCCCAAATCTTTTACAAACTTAGAAGAATGTTGCTGTGAAGCTTCTTTTACTCATACTAACTTTCTCCTTGCCAGGAACCTGTTCTATATCGTTGCTCAGTAGTAATGAGATGGTTAAGGTGTTATAGTTCCACTTCTGCCATTCGTGCTAATATTTCAAGGCTTGATATTCATTGTAATAAAATGACTTTCAATATAAGTGAACTACAGGTATTTCTTATTATTTTGAGCCTTCATTCTATTTTATGGAAGTTTTGTATTCATTTTATAACAATTAACTTTAACTTGGTCTGTTAGGTGCCAATGATGATGCGTTTGCTATTTTTGGCTCGGGCTCTTCAAAACAGGGAAGTTGGCCAGCGCTCTTTTGAAACAGACTGCCTTATAGATGTAGAAGAGGGAGACGGTAACATTATTTATACTGCAATTTGAGTTACATAGTATGTACAATTACTACTAAATATTTTCCTTTACTTCTTATATTATACAAACAGAGAATCTTCCAGACAATATGCAACAAGACTCTTGGACTGGATGGGCCTGGAATTTAGTGCCTGCTCTTCCAAGCTGGAGTGAAGATTGGACAGGAGATGAATCTGAGGACAGAGGATTCACATTTCATTTTGGAATATACATTGATAACCTTGCTTTCAACTTGAGGGTAATTTTTCACATCTATAATCTTTGTAAAATTTGCTCTTTCATTTTTTGGTGGGAAGGGGTTTGTTTTGTATTCTTCATAATATTTTACTCTGTGTAGGTTGGAGACAGTGGTTCTAATGATGGGAGTTCCTGGAAAAATAAAGCTGAGCCATTCCTTACATTGTCCTTGCGAGGATGCTTACTTGACTACATCTGTCATGACAATCTGTGGGTCAACAGTCAACTTGGGATTAGTTGCATTCAACTTGAACCAGTAGGGGCTTGTAGTTGTGGTATGAATGAGTCAGCAGCAGACAAGGTCTGTATTTTTTTTTTAAGGTCTATCTTTGTGTTGGGTATTTCTATTATATTTACTGATGGTCTTTGATCGTACCAATTGTACAGAGTGGGCTCTTTTTTGAAAGTGGCTCTTATCAAGATAATTATTTATCCGAATCCCTTTTTTCATCTACTGCCACTGAAAACTGTGGGGAAAAGCGTCGGTATAATTTCTCTTGGGATATTCATCAAAATGTTCACTCAGGTAATGTACTTTTGTTCTACTCTACAGGTTCTTTGTTCCTCTCCATTAATCTAACTGAAAATATTACATGTGTATGTACTAATAACTGTTTTATTTTCCTTCACTTTATCATCAAATTTTTAGAATCCAGCCTTCTTGAAAGAACTCCTGCACTAGCTATTGACTATTTGTACATGGCTGAATTGACAGAGAAGTGCAGTGCTGAAAGATTTCTTGAAATGAATGGTGACTTAGAATACAGGTGAAAACTTCTTTTGATCTGCTTTAGTTAAACATTGTCTTGTCTGCCTGGCTATATTTTTTTTATTTTATTCAACCATAGCGACCTACCAGAAAGTTCTTTGTGCCGCACTGTGCTTGGTCCCTTTGTTTTACGAGTAAACTCTGGATTACTACATCGCTGTGAAAAAGTACAAAAGGCAGCAGCATTATATGATTATCAACCATACTCAACACCTCCACCAGGTTTGTTCGATTTATAGAACTCATGTAATTTAAGTACTTTTCTAGGTTTCAATTGTAGCTTGTAAAGCTTAGAGGATACTTAAAAAATGTGTCTCCTCCATTTATTTTTATTTTTTAGAGGACCGTCGTGAGAATCTTCCTGCTGTCACCACTGAAGAATATGACAGCCTTGAAGAAAACATCCCTCTGCGAACCTTCCAGTATACATTATTCCAACCAAAAGTGGAGTTTTATGTGGCAGATCATCCCAGTATTCCTTCCACAAATAAAAGAGTATAGATTTTATTATTATTACTTTTTCATTTAAAATTGGATTTGTGATAATTTCAACTATGTATTCCTAACAATTCCACAGAAAATTTCAGTTACCAAATCAGAGATTTCTGATAGACACAAGCATTCAAATTTTTCCATTGAATGTCAGTGTTTGGACACCCGTTTCATATCCCCTATGTATCCTCGTCGCCTAGTGCGATCTGCTTGCCTTCTGCCAACACTTCCCCAGCACATGTTTCATGCATGCCACTCACATATTATTGGACGTGTAAGTAGTAATTTATCTCAGAATAATTTGTTGAAAACATCTAAAATTCGATGAGTAAATTTAAATTTGTCTTGCCTTTTTTGTCTTTAAGATTCTTGGACTGTCAGGCCAACTTAATATATCAGCAGAGCTGGAGAACAAAGCTTTTTCAATCAACAATATGTTATATAAACGCAAAGAACTCTTCTTTACTCATTTATGGGAAGGGAACGATCTTTTGCATGAGGAGTGTTCCATAGAAGCTGGTATTTTGTTTGAATTTTATCTCTCTTAATAAGTTACTAACCCTTTCCTTCACTCATTTACTAATACTTATATACAGAGAAATCATCAATATCCGCTACAAAATCTCAAATCTTACTGGTCTATCAAATTGTATCGTCACTTTGGCAAAACAAGGTGCCAACCTCACTTGTGACTGATGCCTCTACATCCGAAGGTAGGTACCCCAGTATCTTGAAGTATTACAACACATTTGATTATGGGTTATTTCCATTTATACCTTGAAGAAGTTTATGATAACACAACAGAGCTTTGTCTACCTTTTAGGTGGTATACTTGAATTGGTTTGGAAAAATATTAACTGGCAGAAGGGACTGACAAATCTTACTAGATGTGACTCTATGTCAGTAGAAAACTTTTCAGCTGATTTACTTATTGCTCCAAGCCCTAATTATCAAAGAATAGGTGAAGTAAAGGTTCCAGTATTTTCATCTGAAGATGATACCAAAACATTCATAGAAGGTATTTTTTAAAATCTTCTAGTGTTAAAGGCTGATATGATATCCTCATGTTAAATAACTTTCATTATTTTGCAGCTTGTATACAGTGGCCTAAACAAATAACACGACCCTCACATGCTCCACTATTTATTTTGAACATCCAAGAGGCTGTATGCAATATGAACCCAATTCTGTACACATGGTTGTTGTACTGTCCCAGCACTACTCCTCTAGTAAATTCTAGCAACCATTCAGCAATGAAGATTGTAGCCACAGACACCAACACTCAAAGGTGAGTCAATAAAATCAATGACAAGTAGATTACATTTTCCTCTTGCTTACAACCTGCATTAAATCGTTTTTGTTTTTGTTGTTTATGTGCTTGAAGTGCACGCAGTGGACACAGAAAAATCTCAGATGTCAGTGGTAGTCACATGTCATGCGAAAGAACTCGCCGCTCACAGACTCCTTTGTCAGTCCATAGCAGCGATAAAGATCGAGAAACTGTTCCACCCCCTTTAGTTTCTCAACTTTCTGGATTAAGTGTTGATGACAAGACACTACCGCTTGCAGAGGTAAAAGAGAACTTTATTATAATTTTAAAATTTTGGTTACAGTAGTTGCTATTTTTATTTATTATTTCTTTTTTATTATTCTGTTTAGAAAACATGGCAATTATCAAAATGGCTAGTGCAGTGGTTTCCTGTTTGGCAAGGACTTGTTGTCAGTGTTAACATTGCCCATTGGAAAATTAATTTTCCAGTTCTATCGCTTACAAAATCAGATATTGCTACGTCTGATACAGCAACTCTCTCAGCAGACAAAGTTAGCGTAGCATTGCCCATGGTGCAAATTGACAGTGCTACACCATCGCACAAACATAATCAGTTCCAGTTTCCTTCAAAGCTGCCAATCAACCTACCTCCTTCAGCATGGATGGAAGGCAAGTAAATAGTATTTAATCTGTCTGGAAGTAAAAAGTTTTTTACTATTAGCATTAACAAATTTTTATTTGTTGGTTTGATATACTTTGCAATCAGGGGGCTCAAATTTCCCATGGAATGTAAGCCTATCTGACCTATCTGTGTGGACTACATGCAATGAACATAGTCAATACCTCTTGAAGCCTGTGACAACAAAGTGCACGGCTGGAATTTCCACTCGCTTTGCCAATGGAGACAAAGACTGTATTACTTCCCTTGGTTTGTGCATACACAATGACACAGGCGCTCTTCATATCACTGTGAATCAGAAGCAGGTTTGTATGTTCATATGTATGTATCTTTTATGTTCTCTTTTAAATTTAAATCAATTCTGAGTAAGTAAACCTGTCTTTAGGCAAAAATACTGAGCAATGTGCTGCTCAGTGTCACAGCTGTATTAAGTTCTCTGATCAAACAACACCTACAAACGGTTGCCACTGGATCAAACCTTGGCCCTGCTGCTCCCCCAAGCCCAACAACCATAAGTGAATCTGCCAGTGTCAGTGAGTCAAGAAATTTAATGAAAAATACCTTGTGTGGTTAGTATTACTATGGAATTGCATTTACATTTAAAAACAACTAACTGTAGTGTTTTTAAAAAATGTTCACTATATTTTAGAGCCATTTCCTGTTCAAGAAGAGGATGTAAAACTGAGTATTTGGTTGCAATGGACCTTAGCCCGTTTGTCCATGAGTTTTTATCTGCAGAATGAAAATTCAGAACCAGGACAGAAACGTACCAAACTGGCCCTTGAAGTTGAGGATTTAATCACATCTCTTGATCTTCAGCAGATTTATTCAAAACTTAAATTTAAAGTTGCTAGTGCAAATGTCCATCATTACATAAGGTAAATTCATACTGGACTGTTCTGATTTGCTAGTTTTATTTCCTACCTGACAACTTGTTTCTTCTGAATTAGGACTAATGATGATAAACTGTGGCAACCTTCACCGTTCAATGGACTTGTAATGTGTGGACATGAGGAAATCGCACCCCCCTCTAGTATACAAGTGCCAACTGATGAAGGTTGTGGTCTGCTAACAGCTACACTGACACGTGCTAAATGTCGAAGTGTTCATAGTCGTTGGGGTGCACCAACAACCAATAGTTCTTCCAAACGATACTCAGAAATAAAGGTATATTTGATTCCTCTTTGCAAGAGTATGTTCATTAGAGCAGTAAAAATGATTAATCACTGATATCAGGTTACAGATACCTCTGAACCTCCTGCAGCTTGTTTCATCACAGAGATTTTAGTGAAGTTACAACCACTTGACTTTGTGGTGTGTGTGGAAACTTTAGCTGAGCTGAGTACCATTCTTCATCCCTTCACCATTCTCTTTGAAAGATCTAGCCCAAATTCTTCTCACAACATTAAAATTTCAACTGGAAATTCTCCTGGGATACCAAGTATTACAAGTGCATCCCTCCCACTTGTGTATTTGGATTTCCAAGCTGTCCGTGTTTTAATGCCTACAAATAAAAATTTTGGTTTCCATGATACTGTTATTGTTCAGGTATAAATTTAAAAATTTCTTATAAATTACGGTCTTTGGGTATTTGTAATCCACAAGAATCATAATATTTACTTTTGTTTAGGTCGATTCAGTTACTCTCCTTCCCCATGCTGAAAATACTCTATCCCGACCTCCCATACGTCCTGATGTTTTCCACATGGCAGAGCAAGCTCGGATTTTGTCGATTCCTGGTTCTGAAGTTGAGGATCGACAATATGAATTGAATATTTGTGGTCTGGCTTTGAGTAGTGGTATGTAAAATTCTTTTTCATCTCAATTTAATTATTCTGTTTTGTAGATTGATTAATTATCTTTGTATTCCGACAACTATAGGGCAGTGGGAAAATATACAGAGATGTCGAAAATTACCAAACAATTCACCCGCTTCAAGTTTGCGTACAATGAGTGAAAACCCTGCTCTTGTGTGGAACAATTTGGGTTCTAATACTCAAGGTGATGCATCAGAGATTGTTGGCAGTCCTAAGCCTCATTTGATGCCTGTCTTAGCACCATTAAAAATTTGTATAGTAGGAGCACCTGCCATTGTCTATCGCAAGAAGGTTTTAGTCTGCGGTCACGCCCTAGAGGTACCTTTTCCTCAACGTATTTAAACAGATCTGTCTAGGAAACATCACTTTCGAAATTAAATTACCAAGTACCTTAATTTTCTAGATTAATGCTGTATCAGATATTGATGTCAAACTTACAACAAACCAAATGAGCTTGATTATAAATCTCTTTTCTGATGTACAAACGGTCTTGCTGAATTTCTTATCCAAATCTGATGGATCAAAGCCACTGAAGCCATCGTTTGTTCTGGAACTTGCTGAGAAGCAATATCAGTCAAGTGTTCATGCAATGTCAGAGACAGTAGTCTCAGAGCACATGCACTTTGACAGTGGCATTGATACAGCTGATATGTCTAGCATTGATACTCCGCACAGTTCAAGAATAAGAGGTAATTTTAATTTCATGAATAAATTACTAGTAATGTAAACATAATCTAATCTAATCGAATAAATGTATTTTATCCCAAGGTTCACGCCGTGTGTCCCGGTTACCTCGTTATTTAGAAAGTGTACATGGACCTTCAATACACTCTGCTTCTTCCTCTCTCTCATGGGTTCATAAAACCGAAAGGGATGGTTTTGCATCAAAAGTAATAACTGAACAACCCATTGACTTCTTTGCTGGGTCGAGGTAAAACCTTAATGAAGTATTATAATGAAAAATTATATATTTATCATTCTATAAAAAGTTTTTATTTTTTTTATTTTATTTTATGGGTTTATTCCAGGTCTAGCCTTCACAAAGAAAAGAGTTTGCTTTCTCCTGAAACATTACCTGGTAGGGATAGACACATGGAAACTCCATTCGATTTTCTAATCACTGGAGCTAAAATATCATTAATGTGCTATGAAGATGTCAAGGTATTTTTCATCTTTGCTTAACTCTGTATTTTTAATTGTCTTAAGTGCCACCAAACTTAAATTGCTTTCATTTCTTGCATTTTTAGGAGGGTGGTTGTTTGAATGACAACAAATGCAAGCAGAGGCCCTTGCTCTATGTTTTTATCTCGCAACCTCACATGTTTTACTCTTATATAAGTCGGAGCTGTTCTGTTCAAGTAAGTTAATGTACTTTATGACGAGCAAAGCCAGTTTTCTTATTTTATGTATATTAACATACAGTAATATTTCTGCTTTCAGACATCCTTTTACAGTGCTGTGGTTAATTTGGGCTCACCACAAACTATAAAAGACTATAAACCAAGTTTCAGCGAGAAAGATTTTCCAGTAGCCTTATTTGAAAGCCGCAAAGGTGAACCAAATCCCAAGACTGGAGTTCCTCCCACTCTATTTAAAACACAATCAACTTTCACTCCAGCCAAACCAGCTCAGGTATATTTTTTAAACAGTAAATTACACATTTCCTCCTTTTTTTCTTTTCCTTTATTTAATTACTCACTGTAACTTTTATTTCAGTTGTCTGTTGAATTATCACGCCCTGCTAAATTAATTCTAAGCACATCCAACCTCCAGTTTATCAGCTATGTCATAAACATTGCCTCTGCCTGCTTTACCCAGTCCAAAAAAGCACATTCCTGTCCTGTTGAACAGGTCCACTCCAAGAAAGGGTACAATGATTCTAATATTGTGTTCTACTTTGCTTTTGGTATTATACAGCATTTCATTAATCCTTTTTTATCCTATTTAAGTTTTCAACAAGCCCTTGAAAGTCTTTCTGGAATAGGAGGGGTACATTTTAAATCCGTCCAGATTGTTGTAGTTTTCCAGGATGAAAATGAAGATCACAGTAAGTGTAACACTGTTTTAGCCATATGACACCACTTGTTAAATATCTTACCTTACTATATTTTATCTATTATTTTTTTGTCTGTCAAGTTAACTCTGTCATGGAGGTAAGTGTTGCTTCACTTGATGGAGAGTTGAAGTGTACAAGTAGAACACGCTGGGGATGCAATGCATCTGCTGTAGAACGTATTGTTTGCCATCTAAATGTGAAAGGGCTATGCTGTTCATCCAGTCATCGCCTTGCGAGACAGTTGTTACTGGAGCCCTGTAACATGCAATTTCGTCTAGAGCTATTGTGGCCAGCATGGTTGCCACGGTGTCTCCTTACTTCACTCCCTCATACTCAAGTTAGTTTATGTTTAGATAAATTCAAATGAAAGTGAAATAAGTGGCTGAAGATCTCTAATAATGACTAATTCTGGTTTTAAACCCCTCCCAGCTTACTATCCAGTCTGAATATTTTTCAATGACAATCAGTCCTGAGCATTTACTGGCGCTAAAAAATCTTTACAATGCATATTTACCATTCATCCGAAGTCCTTCTAATATGAACCCGGCAGATGTTTCATCATCCCTGCATATGTCTCCTAGCATACCAGCTTCAGACACTCATTCAAGTGAAACAGGTTTGAGACTTTATGCTGTATCATACATAATACATGTAACACAGCTATTACATATCAGATATTTTCAGATTTTGTGGATACGGAACAACACTACACAGATGATCTTAGAGCTGGCGCATTTCAGTTCATGGATGCTACAAATACTTTGGAAAGAGATCAAATACCACTTCCTTATCAGTGTGTTTTTTGGGAAAGCTCCCCTCCAGCTATTGCATGGAGATATCCTCAGCCTAGGTCTTTGACAAATGTTCATATTTATCCGGTTCCATTCAAAGTATGTGAAATTTTTAAAAGAAATTTTTTGTTCATACCTGATGTTGTCTGCTAATTCAATGTTTCAAAAAATACATTTCAGAGTGCTCCAGACGCAGAAGTGGGCAGAGAAGATGCTCCTGTTGTAGTTTGCTCTTTGCAATATTGGTCTGAGTGTAGAGGAGCTTATCAGCATTATGCAATGTTTCTTTTATCAGAAACAAATGAGAGCAAAGTTGAGCTACCTATGAAACCTACTTCAGCTGTGTCTGCTGTGTGGCGTGTTTTATTAGCAGGGACTCAGGACTTACATGGACATAGTCAACCAATATCAGAGACAGAATCTGGTGATTCAGTTAATACAGGTGTAGTATCACTCTAGCATGTTTCCTTTGAATTCATCTTTTATTGTTGTACAAATGATGAAGAATTCTTACTTTTCAGAAGTGCCTGTTGTTTCTCCAAGGGCTCTTGCAGCTTGTATGCGCATTGACTCTTTCTTCAGTGCGTCATTGGCTCCAAACTTCCAAGCATGTTTCAACATGACTCACATTCAGGTCAGCTATTTAGACACCTTAACACAATTTTAAAATTGCTAAGAAATAGGTATAAACGCTTCTTGTTTTCTTGCAGATTTCACTTATGAACCAATTGTTGGACTCTCAAGTGCATCCCATGCCTCAGGAGTTAGCAGAGTACTTGTGCGATGGAAATTTGCCTTATGATCACAGTTTTCTTTGGTGTTCCCTTAACCACTGTTCTTTGTTTTACTCTGCTTGGCCTGAAGGTAATTAAACATGTAGTTCTGTTCTGTTAAAAATTAAGTTTGTCATTTAAATATATTCTCTTTGTCTAGGTCGAAAAATTGCTGAGCTGAACACCCTTTGTCAACTTGATGTCTTAGACTATGGAAATTTATCCCCCAAAAATGTTCTTGAGCCCTTTTTATCGAATTCAAGCCTTGCCCTAAATGCTGATGGTACAACTGAAGTTTCTATTGTAAGTCGTCCCATTGCATTTAGATTTGGTCCAGCAATAACTCACAGTATTGCTGCTTCTTTGAAATTGTGGCAGCAAGAACTAGATCCACAAAATAGAGAACCAGTTCAAGTAAGTGGTTTTGTGTCACCTACCAGTCTGCTGGATGGAATGCAAAGGAAGTGGTGTTTAAGACTCTGACTTAACCTAAACTTTTAAACTTGATGTTTCAGGTGATCATTTCACACTATATTTTGTGTAATGACACTGTACTACCCATTGTGCTTGGACAGGTTGAAACAGATGAACAGATAATTTTGTCAAGTAGACAGTGTCATTTATATTCTTGGAGGTCATTAGCTAAAAAAACCTCCTTACACATGTCTGTTATTGACCCAAGGTAAAACAAGCATACTCTGAAGTCTAAATTAAAACCACTGAACCTACACAATGATTGAAATTCTAAATTAATCAATTTCTGTTTCTTCTTTTCTTCTGTTTCAATTTTTGAAAATAGCATGCAAAAGCTTGGGAAAGAAGCGTGGAGTTCACCCTTTTCTATTGATTCATTGGGTACACAAGTCTGTAAAATATCTATTCAGTCTGACAGAGAAATCATATTTTTTGTGGACATTTCCACTTTGTCTGCAAATCAAAAGAAGGTTACTGTATAGCTTTATACATATTAATAGGTTAATAATAAAATCAAGGAACATGTATTTATCGGTTTTAATACTTAATTGTTTAGGTCACTTTGAGAGGTCAACTTCAAGTTCTACATCAAGTAGATCACTTGCTGGATCTCAGGCTTGTGCGCCCTTCTTCAGACTGGTCAATGGAAGCCTGTAGTTGTTTAGTACCACTTCAATCAAACTGCATTAATCCTTCATTGGTTTTGGACCGTAATGCTGATGATTCACAACTTGCTATAAGACTGCGTCTTCGTCAATTTGATGCAAGCTTATGGACTGGAGATATTCCGCTCAGAGAAAACCCTAAAAGCCATCAACCATGGCTTGTAAAAGGTTGGAAATTCCCTTGTTTCTCAAAGGTTTTATTCTTGTTGTTGTTTCTTTACTTTAGCAGTTTGATAATGTGATATGTGTCTTTGTAAATAGTGCCACTTCAAGATAAGCAACAATTCATATGTATATGGTGCCGGGTAATTCGGGAAACTGTTAAAGGTCAAAGGAAAATTTTGGTGAGTTTGAGAATTTTTGTGGGAAGTAAGTTAATAAACTAAGTATACACCTGTTTTGCTTATATGCTTTGTTTCATTTCAGGTGATGCTTAGTCCAATGTATGCTGTGCGATCTTTCTTACCCACATCCATGCCAGCTGTCATATCAAATTATGAAAGTGAAGAAGGAAGAATGTCCCTTGAAGTCAAGGGTCAAGGGGAAGTTACATTTCTGCATTTGCCTGGAGCTCTCAAAGAGAGCACTCACCAGTTAAGTCTTCGTAATGCTGCAAATATGAAAGTTTTCCCATTCGGGTTTTCAAATATCGATCCTAAAAAATTATTCTTAAGTGTGGATCAAGTTAATATTGAAAGCATTTTGGAATCATCCATGGAGAAGAACAAACAGGCTGCATGGCCATTACCAAATGATGAGTTAAAATCTATTCAGTGGATTGGTGTTGAGATTTCTAACTCATATGTACAGGTAAAAAGATACTTTGTTTTTTCCTATTTTATGCTTTTGGTCATCAGTTGAATTTATTGAATGAATTTTCTGTGCAGGCAATGTACAGTCCTCTGTCTCCCTATTCGGGCACCATGTTATTGGAACTACAGCCTTGGGCTTTGCTTGTCAACATGCTAGAATGTAGTGTATGCATAGAACATTCGGGTGAATTAATTTTTTCTCTTCCACCCAGGGGTGTGGTTGCACCTCCAAAGCTTGAGGTCTGTTCATGTTTTTAAAAATAAACTTAATATTTATTTGTAATAAATGTTCTCCTGTAATTTGATTATTTTACATTATAATTTCATCTGCAGGGTACTTTCCACCTGGGCCTGAAGTTCTCCAACTCAGACGATTGGTATTTGTCAGAGGCTTTGCAGCTTGTCCGTGCTGATTGGGGTAAAAGCTTCTATATGCCCAGAATATCTGGTCTTGTCCCTGTAGAGGGTCATGTACAAGTATCAATTAAGTGTGGACCAACAGTGAGTAACATCCTACAATTTTGTGTCTTAGTCTTAACACATTCACATTCAGTGTTACCAACCCCTAGGATGCTCAATGCTCAGCCACACTGAGCCTTTTGAAAGGTATTTATTCAAACTTGTTTGACCACACCACGTGATTTGACTTCCTTTCAGGCTGTGAGTCTTTTGACTCTGAGATCACAGGTTATTAATGAGGTACGCATTGTCAGCATTTGTTCAAGTTTTGTTGTGATAAATTCAGCAACAATCCCCTTGCAAGTAACACCTATTGCTCTTCGATACAATGATGTAAAGTCTCAAATACCTGCTCCGAAAAAACATTCTTCTGAAGTAAAGAATGCAACCATTAATATTTTACAAGACAGTAAACATAGGTAATTTTAAAAGTGACAATGTCTAGTATAGTTCAGATAGTTATTAAAGTATTGTTTTCTCTTGTTTTGTTTTTTTATGTAAAGGTTTATTTAAATATACAGTATTTGTTTCTTCTTAACCTTTTTAGGGGGTATCCTTTGGGGAGATGGTTGCATATAAAATCATGTGAAAGTGATATTGTGCCTTATATTTGTGTGAGCACCGAAGATGCAAAGGAACTTAGCTGTCCACTGCATATTTCTGGAGTTCCATCCAGAAAAAGATTTATTGTTCCGTTGCCTCAAGAGAAAGGAAGGACAACTCATTCTGCCCCTTCATTCCACTCATTAGTTTTGTCAGTAGTAGAAAATAATGGCCAGACATTTGTGGATATTGCTGATGAACCCCATCCTGAAATTATTCTTCACAATGGTTGTGATTTCCGCATTCTTTGTGCAGAAGCCTCACCTTTTGGGAAATCAAATACAGGTTAGCCCTACAAGCTCTACTTTTCTAAATCTCCAGTCTTTTAATGAACATAATTATGGCTACTGAGATGGGTTAACATATCTTGTATTTTTTAGATTTCAAAATCTTGCCAGATCTAGCACCTTGGGATTGGTACTGTGCTGTGGATCCTCAATGTGATGTCGGATACAGCACCCACTCAGTAGATAATGTTTTTCCACAAATATCATCCACACCTCCTAATTCTTTTGTTGCCCTGGCTGCAGATCTTGGGGCAAAAGACTTAAGTAATTATTATTGACAGCAAAACCAAACTTTTCTTTTGACATAAATTGTGAAAGTTTTGTGTCATTTTCTTTACAGTTTTGTCGATTGTTTGGTCACCTCCTGTTCATATAAATGGAAAACAGGAGCAGTTCATAAGCATTCCTGGACATGGGGATGTTAAAGTAAGTGAAATTTTATTATGTTATTTGTATTGGTATGTGTGAATCGGGATGAAATGTTATTGTCTTTGTGCAGGTGCATACATGGGTAGAAGGGTATTCGACACACTTATCCATAGAGGCAGTGAGCCGTATTGAAATATGTGCAAAGGACATCCGTTCACGTCTGTCTGCTGTGCCAGAAAACCCTTCATTTCAAATTGATGAAGGTGTGTTATAATCTTTTCAGTGTTTAATATTTTTCTGTCTTCATATGTAAGTATTTTATTTAGCATGAGTTGTGGTTTTCTATCTTACAGAAGAAGTTGTTTCCTACCCCACCAAAGATATTGATGTATCAGCATTCCAAGATGAGGAGGGAAGCATTGTGAGCACTTTAATTAGTAAGTATGAAAAACTCTAAACCATTTCAAACTTCTTTATTTTTTCCCCTTTGAAATAAATAACTTTATGTTTTCCAGGTTCAGATAAGAAACAACCTCCTGTGAAGTTAACTATTTTCATTCAGGCATGCAGTTTAACTTTAATGTCTCCAATCTCTTTAACTGAAGAAATTGAAATTTCCACTCTAACACTGGATAGTGTCTCAGTAACATTTTGCCCAATAATCCCCTCATCTTCGCAAACTTGTGTAAGAAAATTTATTTTCAGCAACTGGCATCCCCTCACTTGTGCTCACTTTTATTGTTGAATCAAATGTTTAAAAATATTTGCACAGCTTTCAGAGTTGATGCTGCAAGTAACCCTTGGAGAGTTTCAATTTGATAATCAGCTCTTTGAGTATGGTGGATTTGATTTTCCGGTTGTCTTGATGGGCCAACAAGATAAAGATGAAATTGGAAAAAAAATATCACTACCTGTGAGCTTAAGCTCCTCAGCATCTCAACTAGTAAATAAATTTTCCCCACATGCTCTTCTTGCTGTAAATATAACTTTGGAATCAAATGCTAACCGCCTAAGTAAGTGTCTATATCAGTTATCTGAAAATTTTACTTTTAAAAAGATTGTATTAATTTGTATTTAATTTATTTCCAGTGCCAAAATCAGTCCATGTGTCTATTGGCCCAATAACAGCATATGTTGAAGACAGATTTGTAATGGATTTGAGAAAACACATTGCTGCTCTTTTGAGTCCTCTGCTTTTACTGTCAGTAAACAATACAGAATTTGAGTTATCCAACCTTTGTTCACCTTCAGCTCCCTGGATTTCTGTTCCTTTACCTGTATCTATAGAACTGCAAGTAAGTATGAAGGCTTAGAATGAAATGTTCTTTTAATACCAAGATGTACAGTTTTTATCAATTTATTTATTTTTGTTGTAGGTTCTTAAATATCCATTGCGTTTGGAGTCTCTGACATTAGACCCTGTTTGGTTGCTGCTCAGTGTTCATTCCTGTATGCGTCTCTACATTGCTTTGGACCGTTCTCCTTTGCAGTTTACTCAATTTTGTCGGCGTTCTGTTTTTACTACTTCATATAACTTAGGTCACACATTGTCCATGCACTACCTTTCTGGTGCTATATTTGGAGCAGGTAATTCAATCTTGCTGTAATTTCTACGTTCTTCTTTTTTTACTTGTTTAGGTTTGTTTACTCATTTCACTGACATTCCCTCTTTTTTATTTCCATAGGGTGGGTTGTTAGCTCTTTAGAACTCCTTGGGAGTCCTGGTGGTTTTGCCCGAACTTTGGGCACAGGCTTGCGGGATTTTGTCAGTTTGCCTTATCATGGGATTCTTGAAGGCCCTTGGGGCTTCCTCGTTGGTGTGACACATGGTTCTGCTTCTCTCATGAAACACTTTACTGCAGGTAAAATCAACTATCTTGTTTATCCAACTCTACTTTAAACCTAAGATGTATTTGAGTCATATACCCTTTTTTTTCAGGAACCCTTACATCTGTAACTAAAATGGCATCAAGTGTGGCCCGTAATTTAGATCGATTGACACTAGATGCAGAGCATTTAGAGAGAACAGAGGAATTGCGAAGGGTGCGACCTCAAGGAGTTGCAGAGGGCCTTTTGCAGGGTCTTACTGGTCTAGGAATTAGTATATTAGGTTTGTTCACTGCAAATTTTTGTACACATTTTTCTTTTTAACCAGTGTGTATTTTAACTGAACAATTCTTTGAATCCAATGTTTTAGGTGCTGTGGGAGGATTGGCTCATCACCCACTTCAATCAGTATTATCTGGTCAACCCTCTCCTAGGGGAGTAGTGACAGGAGTAGGTAGAGGTCTTGTTGGAATGTTCACAAAACCACTTAGTGGTGCTGCAGATCTAGTTGCTATGACAGGACAAGGATTGCTTCAAGGAGCTGGTTGGAGCAATCTACCTCGGGTAAGCTACAAGCTATACTCAGTATTGATCGTTATGTAAGAGTTTTAGTTTTCCTCTATTTTTTAAAATTTATTTTGCATGTAGCAAAGAGATCAAGCGAAGACTGGACAAGGGAAACCACACAGAAGTGCTTTAGTCAAGTTTAGCAAAATTCAACATCCCAATGTCTCTCAATGCTTACTTGTTCTGGAGGCAACACTTGAAACCAGTTCATCTCGTTTCAAAGCTGTCACTTTGTTGCTGACTACTCAGAACCTGATAGTGCTGTCGGCTGATGGTGATCATGTGGAATCTCAGCTGCTGCTTACCGACATAATTCTTCCCGAAATTGAAGCAGATCCTACCATGTTAACCATCAGCTTCAAAGGAGCACCACCTGCTGTAAGATATAAACCCTTTTATCCATCAAAATGATTTTGGTTTCAGGATCTAATACTAATCTCCCAACATTTTTTTACCATCTCATAGGTCGACCAAAGAATGTGGGACTTTGTAAATGGCTGCCAATATGTCGTTAATACTGGCCCACCAGCCCTTGAAACTTCTGAAGATGTCAGACCAGCAAGTCCCACTCCACTTTCCTCAACGTTACCATTAAGTATGCAAACTGTTGAACATCAATCTGCCCCAGAGGTGGAGGACACGAACCCGAACCTCAACCTCTCTCGTTCTTCTTCTGATGACGGCGGGGTTTCTCTGAGCGCTGTCCAGCCAGCCGATACATCGGCTTCTGCCACAGTCAGGCCCCCTACAATCTTCCATGTTAATCCTTTGATACAAAGGCACTTTATTATTCTTTTAAAAGTTGCTCAAAGGCAGATGCAAAACCAAGGCTTCCAAATTCTGTGATATATTTTTAAAGGGTTGTTATCATTTTTGTATTATTAGTATTTTTAATAAATTTGTTATACAGGGTGTCCTATGGGCCCCTTTCTTTATTTTCTTGGTCATAGGAACTGAGCCGCATGCACGCGTGTGGGTGGGTTGCCTAACTCGCTTGGGGTCTTTGGGCACCAACTCGCATGCTGGACAGTTTAACTTTTTTTTTTTTAGTAGGGCACCCTGTAAAGTATTTAAAGTATTTATATGACTTGATATTTATTCTGTTTTCCTTGCATATTGCTCCCTGTTGCCTGTCAGATGACCCGCTGTTGAACTCGGGTCAATGTCCAGGTAACGGGTCTCCGGGAAAATAAAAACAAAAGCAAACCTAAAACAGTGAAATATTGTGCACCAGTGCAGCGGAAAGGGATGGGGAAGACACGATGCCGCCGCTGTTGTTGCCTACCTACAGCATACGTAGTCGCGATACCCGCCCCTGCAGCTCGCGGCGTTTCCGGACGGTCCGGAGTGGGCCGGTGGAGTCGAGCCGAGCAACAGCCCAGCCGATCTTTTCCACCGGACTGAGCCGAGCCGGTCCGAGCCAGCAGGTCGACCCACGCCAAGCGTCGCCGAAAGCCTTTGCCTGCTGCACTGCACGCTGCGTTCCCTCCGCGCTCTCTGAGCCCTGGAGCCTGCCCTGGACTACCCTGTCCGCTCGCCTCGCTCGCCTACCCACATCTGTCCACTGCACCTCCCCCCCCCCTCACCTCCCCCAGCGTGTGAAATATTCTGGCGTGTAAAGATTTTGATCTGCTTGACGGCCGAGGCCCTCCTGATCCGCTTGGTTGCTTACGCCGCGGGGGCCGCGTCCGCGACACCGTGGAGACTTGAAGGCGGGGCGGGCGAGGAGCGAATTTCCGCATGAATCGAAGGCAATCGGCTGTAGTCATCGAGTAAATCCGGTTGGCGGCGGGTTGTGGCCGGCCCCGCCCGGTGCTGTGCTGCCTACGTACGTCTCGCGTGTATGAATGGCCATCGAAGAGAGAAAGAGAGACATGAGAAAAGAGGGGGGGGGGGCGACGACCCGGCCAGGGGGAAACCTGACCCCCTGCCCGCTGCCCGTGCGCGACCTGTGGCCTGCGGCTGGAGGGGCCAGGTCCCGCGCAGGGCTCATAGGGCAGCCACAGGAAGGCGAAAGGGCACCCGGCCCCCCGCAGCGCCTCGCGCCTCCGCGCCGCCGCCGGCACGCTCACCCTACGTTGAACGTCGGCGACGGTTATACCACCAATGTCAATTTCCAGACCTCGTTATCTCGTAGGGTTTGGGATGCGTTCGAAAAAAGAGTGGCCCGTGGAACCCATAAATAATAGCAGAGGGGTGCCTTTGCTCGTAAATAACACCGGGCCGCGGCGACGCTGCGGTGCCCTTCCCGGTAAACTGACCGAGACCGACTGCACACACGGTACGGTGTGACCTTCACGCACACTGTGACTCTCTTTAGACACCCCACGATAGAGCAGCAGATTGTGAGCTGGCCATACTGCGCCGCTGCACGGCAGCGCGGGCGGGTTGGCTACGCGCTGGTCGGTGGGTGTAGGGAATACCAAGAGGCAAAAGGTTCGCAGGGCGAAGTCAGAGCGAGGGTGATCTCCTCTGGAGCTTCTGATAGAACATTCCAGGTCAGCGCCGCCCTGTGGCCCGAGTGCTGTGTGGCGCGCGCGCGTTGACCGCCGTTGCCATTTCCAGGCGGCGCGGCGCGCGGGACGATCCTTTGATCACCAGAAGTGGCCGTGGGTGACGCTGACTGCCGACTGGTCGGGTCGGATGAGCGTCGGGGCGGGGACCATGGGCGGCGGCGGTGGTGGGGGCGCTAAAACCATAATATGAGTGAATTTTTATTGTCGAGAGCTCAGCTCCGGCTCCAGTGAGTCACCTCTCCACGCCGCCGAGGGGATCAGAGCAGGACGATGAGCATCACGAAAAAAAAAACACAATAAAATATATAAAACCCGCTGTCGGCGTCGTGGTGCGGTAGAGGTGCGGGGACGTCGATGTGATTTGGCGACTTTCCTGCGATTGTACACATTTTTGTACAAGGTCAGGCGGCGGTGATCACACCAGCCCCTTTTCCGGCGCAATGTAACTACATACTTGTCATCGCGAGCAGCGGAGCAGCGCGTGAAGAGTCCTGCCCCCGCTTCGCCCCCGCTTCGCCCCCGCTTCGCCCCTTTCGCCTGTCGCACGGAGCTGGCGGAGCCTTACCTCGGCCCCGGCTCGGCAGCCACCGCTAGAAGTCTGGAAAGATTCGTCGTGTTATTTCGTTTTGTTTTCACAAAGCCATAAATCCCCGCGTGCTGGCCGGGCAGTGCTCAGCCGCAGGGCGCTCATGCCGGGATGCTGGCCGCCCTGGTCCGGACGCTACTTGCCCTGCCCTGCCTTGCCCCGTGCCTTTCTTCATTTTATTTCACTCGATTCGGTCGGCAGCTTGTTCCCAGCGGGAGTCGGCGCGCCGTGCCGTGCCGTGTGCATGCGGGCAGCTTGGGCAGGTGTCTCGGGCCGGACCGGAGGCGAGGCGCGGCGCGGGACGGGAAGCTCGGCCCTACCCCTCCTCCAGCCAGGCCCTTATATTCTTGCTCTCGGTAAATTGTTCTGCACCTTTTTGTAACCCCGGTTGCTCCGCGCTAGCTGCGCGCTGCGCCTGCGCAGCTCGCTTCGCGCCGAGGCGTTCCCCAAGGCCATGCTGGCCCTCCGGCCCTCCGGTCTGGTCACTCGGCCGAGCAACGAATGGTCCATCCTGGACCCTGGAGATGGGGCGTGAGCTTGAGTTCGAACGGGCTGCGACTACTGACCGCCGTCGCGACTCCTGCGCCCACACAAGGGAGAAAGTATGCTCGTCATTCGCCGGTGCAAAGCTCTCGGAGCGCCTGATGGGTAGGCAACAAAATGCCTTCAGTGCACGCATGTATTGCGGGGTGGCCTACCTTGGGTTTCGCAGGCGCCGGGCTCCCGTAATTTGCGGAATAAATCGGAGAAAAACGGACGCACTTTCTTAATGATTCGCAAAGTAGACACGCAAGTTCGGGCAGTGCGCGGCGGTCTGGCCGCGGGACCTGTTGCCTAACATCAGAGCAGTGCTCGAGCTTGAGGGAAGCCCTCTTCAAATCTCGGTGCTCGAACCCCTGGCTCTTTCGTCCAAGCCCCTGGGCCTGGGCCGCCACTCATGTCGTCCGCGACGCGCGATCGTGCTGCCACCGCCTCTCCGGGCGAGGGAGGCGCAGGGGAAGGGAAGGGGCTAGGAGCGCTCTAGGCGCTTGCCGCCGCCGCCTGGTCCGCTTGCGCATAGTGCTTGCACCCCACGCCACACGGCGCACCGACAGCGCGAAACAAAACAAAGGCCTAACAGCGTTTGATTTCATCTTTATTTTTCCTCCTCCCGTATCCCTCTTGTTTCATTATGCTGCTTGCCAGCGAGCTGCTGCACAAAGAGAGGCAAACAAATGGGCCTCCAAAGTTTTCGCCTGCCGCCTTCGCTGAGGCCTGAGGCCTTCCCCGCCACACCCCACCACGCCCCGCCACGTCCCGCCACGCCCCGCTGCTGTCCCGATGTGTCCGGCTGGCGGCGCGGCGGCGTGCGTTCGTTGGTACCTTTATATGCTGCATTAATGAGAGGGACCCGAAATAAATTGAAACGGAAAGAAGGCGAAGCGAAAAAAGAACAAAGAGAATTTATGAGGGGGGGGGGGGCAGCGGCGGAGTGCGAAGCGCACTCGCGCTGTGCGATGCGACCATCAGTGACTGTCACCGAGAGCTGGAACGAGATTTTCATTTTTTGTTCTTTTTTCTGATGTTTTTCCCTCCCTTTTATCAACAAAGACGGACCGAGCTGAATCAGCAAAATAAACTGAACAAGTGAGCAGCAGCAGCAGGTTCGAGTCGCGTTATTGTTCTTGCCTTAGTTAGGCCTGGCTTCAGGCACGAGTGGCAGCAGCAGCAGCAGCAGCAGCCACAGTTTGGCGTGGCGTGGCACGGCCACGGTACCACCACCACCACCACGACGGGACGGCGGCCGGTGGCGGCGTCTCCAAGCCCGTGAGCGGCGCCTGTGCCCCGCCGCGCCCCACCCCCACCCCGCCGTGTCGTCCCCGCACCGCCGCACCACCTTCACAGCATGTACGGCCCAAACCTGCTCGCTCGGAATCCAGTCGGAATCATAAAGCCGAAGCCCCTTCTCGGTCCGGGTCGGCCGTGGCTTTCGGCGCTGGGCGGGGCGGGGGCGCGGGGCGTTTCCAGCCAAAGACACTGTGTTGCTGCTCGTCTCATGAAACACCCTTCCTGCCCCACACCCCTCCTCTCGGACCTTCTTTTTATTTTCCTTTCCTCTCCCCTTTCGGTCCGCAGCGCGCCCCGGTTTCTCGAAAAACCGGATAATGGATTATGTTCGGGGTTTTATACTTGGCGCGATTTCGGACCGCAGGGCGAACGGCCGAACGGACCATTGGGCATACCTCGTGCAAAAGGTATGGGCGGTAATAAAAGCACGGGTTAACAAGAAGACACCTCGCGGAGACACTCCGGCCGGACTCGGACTTGCCGGCCGAGTCGGGGAGGGGCTGGGGCGAACGTCGAACGTCGTTCTCAGCTCTCTGCACGCCAAAGGCCCGCCCATTACAACGTCGTAACATGGGGATCGCTGGTTCGAACAGCCGTACGGCAGCCGAGCCCGAACGGCAAGCGGCAGCGGCCTTAAAAGGTGCATTGCTCCAGCTCGTCGACTAGTGCTGCTTTTTGGCCGGCCAGCCGGTACTTTTGAAACGAGGTGGAAACCAAGCGGACCCGACGGCCCGGCGGCGCGAGGTGCAGTGCGAGGGCGTCGTGGGAGCCGCGGCCCCGGGGCGGAGTTGAGCCCTCGGCCCGCGCGTTGCAGCGGCTGTGTGGGCGCCCCTCGCCTCGCGGGGCCCTCCCGCGCGCCCACGCCAGACGCACGGCATCGCCCTCTCCTTTACTTCATCGTCTTATTAGATTTAAAACGTGAAACTAAATCCGGCCATGTCTCGTCCTCGTCATCGCCATCAAGCGGAGGATGCGCAGGCAGGCGTCCGGCGTCCGGCGGACGAGACTGGTCGGGACGTGGTAGGTGCTAGGTTGCGGGTCGAGGTGAGTAACACGGCGCCCACGACACCCCCAGGTCTCTTTCATTTTCGGGGGACGATTAATATATTATAAGAAAGAAGTTCTTGTAAGGTATAATCGTCTAACAACGGAT